GTCCCTTGGGAATGTGGGAGATCTTGAGAAGAAATCAGGGTAAATTCACCCCTATTATCCAAGAGAAGACATTGATGTTAAACCATTTAAAGAAAGCAAGAAAATTATCGCGATATTTCTCTCTTTAAGCATGTGAGAATAAACCAAAGCAATGCAATACCAGTTTCCCTTTTGAGCTTTTCATTTGGTTTCTTGATACTTCATATTGATGTGCATCATCTTCGTTGTATGGCTACTGTTGCTTGATACCAATGGAAAACTTGGTAACGAAGGAAACATTGATTATTTTCTATAATGAATCGGTTGTTTCATGTTTTTTGTGTGTGTTGGGGGGGGCGGGGGGGGGGAGGGCCAGAGAAAGAAAGAGAGAGACAGAGACGGAGAGAGATGGGTGTGGGAAGTCGGTTGGGGGAGGGTGGATGGGAATTCGTATCTTAATTAGAGACAAAATGTCTGAGCAAATGAAACGCCCGGATGGTCATAGGCAGTGATCATAGGTAGTGAAACTTAAACTGACACTACTTGAATGAATGAGCAACTGCCACTTTGACACAAGTGAAACGTCTGAGCAACTCACACTTTTTCAAGAGTTTAGTATTCAATCTAATAAAAAATTTATTCAACAAGTTGAAATTCTATCTTGTATTATCTGTATATTCCATAGTTGCTGCAAAAATTAATATAGTCAAAACAAATCAAAATGAAGTTCACAATCATAAGCAAAGACTACGGAGAAAATCAAATTTATAATCACGCACTAGTAAGACTTCTAGTGCCTCTCTCTCTCTCTCTCTCCAAAAATAAATAAATAAATAAAACATGTTATGAATCTCTATCTCCCCTCTTTTGAATGCTCTCCTCTCCTTCTTTCCTTCTCATCTTCCCTTTAACCCATATTATGTATCTTGTGTTTGTCTGGATTTCCCTTCTCATCTTCCCTTTAACCCAAATACTCATGCTTTTGTATTTGGGTTTTGAACCTTGTTTTTGGAAGATTTTAGTAATCGACCTCTTTGTAATAGGCTTCCCTCTATCGTACTCAACACACCAATGATGTATGTAAGGAGTCCTATGATTAAAAGTTCTTTTTTTATTATATGATGGTAGAGAGTTCTAGGATGGTCATTGTTTTCAATTGTTTCATCGTTCTATTCAACAAAGGCATAGGACATTGTTTACATGGCAAGGGATATGTAATCATAGAGACTTTGTTATGGGCCCATAATTGGCCTCTAACAGAGGGTCAGAGTCTATGATCAATCTAATAGTTTTGGGCATTTCTCCATGTTCTTATGAAGCAACCTCAAATGGGATTACAAGAATTTTTTGATGAATAAATTTAGCAACCTCAAATGGGATTACAAGAATTTAATGATGAATAAAATTCAGATTCACAAACTGGTCTTTACTAGGCAATCAGAACTCGACCGGTGGTCGAACCGGTGTGGGCACCCATTCGACTAGACCGATTGGTCCAGGCTGGTCACACCATAAAAAAAAAAAATGCAACAAAAAAGGGAAAAAGTGAGACAACTATGATATAAATTCAGGACAGGTTTGAAAGTTCAAAAATTCCAAAACAACTAAGAAAAATATAAGGAGGAAGAGGCGTTGAATAGAGAGGCTACTGTAAAGGATGAGTTCAGTTTGGAAGGAGGAAGAAGGCTATGGCATCCTTCTTTTAGAAAGGGACCTTTCGGAGGGGGAATCTTCTCAATTTCTCTCTCTCTCGTTGCTGCTCTACAAGACTTTTCTCCCTGTCCAGGGAAGGGACAAGCTCGTGTGGTGTCTAACTCCTTCTGGGAATATTATGGTGCTATCCTTCTACAAAAAGCTCATCCAACCCCCTACTTTCCTTCTCAATCCCACCTCTATCCTCTCTAAGGTTTGGCGGTCTATTGCACCTCCTAAAGTGCAAACCTTCAATTGGATAGCAGGCTCAACCAAGGCTCTCACCGTCAATCAACTACAAAGAAAAGGTTATCCTCTTCCTAATAGGTGCACAATGTGTTTGTGTCAAGAGGAATCTAATAACCACTTGTTCCTGCATTGTAATGTGGCACATGACTTATGGGGTCTTATCCTACAACTGTTCGAGGTGCTTTGGGTAGTACCCCCAACTGTTAAGGATCTCTTTGCATTAAACTTGGCCGCTCACTGGACGAAGGCGGGTAGAATCCTCTGGAAATCAACTGTCGCTGCAACAATTTGGACCATTTGGATTGAAAGAAACGCTCGAATTTTTCGGGGAATGGTCAACCCTGGTCCTACGCTCTTCTTTAAGGTTACTTCCTTAGTAACTAACCTCCTGGGCGTCACAACACCTCCTATTCAACAGTATCCCCATGGACTCGTTCCTCACCAATTGGGAGCTTATCCTCTTACACAATCCAAAGAAAAACAAAGTTAATTCTTTTTGGCAACCCCCTCCCCAAGGAGCTATCAAACTGAATTTTGACGGCTGCTCTTTAAGCAACCCAGGCCACGTTGGTGCAGGAAGGGTCTTTAGGGATCATCATCAAAACATTCTCTTCTCCTACTCTGAATACCTCGACATTCAAGACTCGCAGTTTGCTGAATCTATGGCCCTCCTTAGAGGTCTACAGAGTTTTGATCGATCTTGGGGACACTCTTTTTGTGGAGGGCGACGCAAGGAACATTATCTCTTGGGCTTCCAGAACTACGTCCCCCCATTGGTAACTTTCACCTAGTTATGATAAGATTGACTATCTTTGCAAGGAGACGCCGGTCTCATGGACACATATCTCGAGGACGTTGAACAAGGTTCGCCGATCTGCTAGCCAAGGACGGAGCCTTGGTCCATGAAGAAGTATAGGCCCTACCACTGCTCTATTTGGGTCGGGCCCTTTATCCACTTCTCTACTGGTGCTTCTCTCGGCCAGGGTTTTGTTTTTCCCTTTTTTTCTTGTATCTTTTTTGTACATGTGCTGAATATTGTGTAAGGGAAGATTTTATAACCCCATTTTGTATATGATCTTTTGACCAATTCTTTTTTACCAAGAACCTTGATCCTAAGGCTCCCTTCGACTAATCTTGTATCTCTTATTAATACAAATGTCAACAGTTATCAAAAAAAAAAAGAGGCATGGGACAAAAAAAAAAAAGAGGCATGGGACAAAAAAAAAGAGGCATGGGACAAAAAAAAAGGCATGGGACAAAACTAATAACAAAAAAAGATGACAGAAAGTCTACACTACACAAGTTCATGAACTCATCATCTCCAAATCGAAAATACAAATTGAAAAAGCCCTTAGAAATCAACGGTGCAAAACAAAAAAAAAATCACAAAATAAATTTTTTAAAAGTTTTTTTGGCATTTTTGGTTCTTTAAGTTAAGGCCTTTTAAAATTCACAATTTGTATTTTGTAAAAGCCCTTAAAAGTTAAAAGTGGAAATTAAATACCTAAAATACAAAATAACACACAAACTATTTTTTTCTTTTTGCACAGAT